CGCCAAGGCTGTGTCTGAGCTCGGGGGTCTCTGTCCCCGGAGCATCTCCCCAGAGTGCGGATTCCCACTCAGACTGCAGCACCACTAGGAGAAGGGAGGAGAACACTCCCTCACCAGCCGCCGCGCAAAGGGCACCCAGACTGCCAGGTACACCGTCAGCAGAAGCTGGGGGACAGATGGTAAATGATTTGGAAAAAAAAAACAGTATGGCACAAAACAAATGGATTAAAAACTGGCAAGCTGACAGGTCTCAGAAGAATTGTACAATGAGGAACCATCACTGAGCGGGTGTGTTTCTGGTGGGATCCTGCAGGGATCAGTTCTTGGCCCTACCCTACTTCACATTTTCATCAGCGAGCTGGAAGAAAACCAAAAAGTATCACCCAAAAAGTTTGCAAATTGCAAAGAAGGGAGGGCGGTAAATCTCAAAGAGGACAGGTTGCTGACAGAGAGCCTCTGGGTGGCTTGGTGAACTGGGTGCAAGCAAACAATTATGTTTTAATATGGCCAAATGCACAGTTATGAATCTAGAGCCAAAGAACGTAGGCTACACTTGCAGGATGGGGCACTGTCTCGTGGGACGCAGGGACTCGCTGAAAAAAGGCTTGTGGGACATGGTGGATAATCATAGAATCATAGAATATCAGGGTTGGAAGGGACCTCAGGAGGTCATCTAGTCCAACCCCCTGCTCAAAGCAGGACCAATTCCCAACTAAATCATCCCAGCCAGGGCTTTGTCAAGCCTGACCTTAAAAACCTATTAAGGAAGGAGATTCCACGACCTCCCTAGGTAACCCATTCCAGTGCTTCACCACCCTCCTAGTGAAAAAGTTTTTCCTAATATCTAACCTAAACCTCCCCAACTGCAACTTGAGACCATTACTCCTTGTTCTGTCATCAGGTACCACTGAGAACAGTCTAGATCCATCCTCTTTGGAACCCCCTTTCAGGTAGTTGAAAGCAGCTATCAAATCCCCCCTCATTCTTCTCTTCTGTAGACTAAACAATCCCGGTTCCCTCAGCCTCTCCTCATAAGTCATGTGCTCCAGCCCCCTAATCATTTTTGTTGCCCTCCACTGGACTCTTTCCAAATTTTCCACATCCTTCTTGTAGGGTGGGGCCCAAAACTGGACACTGTACACCAGATGAGGCCTCACCAATGTCGAATAGAGGGGAACGATCATGTCCCTTGATCTGCTGGCAATGCCCCTACTTATACAGCCCAAAATGCCGTTAGCCTTCTTGGCAACAAGGGCACACTGTTGACTCATATCCAGCTTCTTGTCCACTGTAACCTCTAGGTCCTTTTCTGCAGAACTGCTTCCTAGCCATTCGGTCCCTAGTCTGTAGCAGTGCATGGGATTCTTCTGTCCTAAGTGCAGGACTCTGCACTTGTCCTTGTTGAACCTCATCAGGTTTCTTTTGGCCCAATCCTCTAATTTCTCTAGGTCCCTCTGTATCCTGTCCCTACCCTCTAGCGTATCTACCACTCCTCCCAGTTTAGTGTCATCTGTAAACTTGCTGAGGGTGCAGTCCACGCCATCCTCCAGATCATTAATGAAGATATTGAACAAAACCGGCCCCAGGACCGACCCCTGGGGCTGCCAACTAGACATGGAGCCATTGATCAGTACCCGTTGAGCCCGACGATCTAGCCAGCTTTCTATCCAATCAGCTGAACATGAGCTCCCAGGGCTAATGCAGTCCTTGGATGTATAAACAGGGGAATATCCAGGAGTAGGAAGGTTGTGTTACCTCTGTATTTGGCAGTGGTCCAATCGCTGCTGGACTATTGCGTTGATAAACTGGAGAGAAGAGCCGTGAGAATGATTAAAGGACTGGAAAACAAGCTGTACAGTGACAGAGTCAGCTCCTGGGGTCTATTTTTGCTTTGCAAAGGGAAGGTTAAGGTGTGTCTTGCTCACAGTCTATAGGTACCTACATGGACAACAGAAATGTGATACAGGGCGGCTCTTCATGTTGCCAGCCAAAGGTGTAACAAGATCTAATGGCTGGAAGGTGAAGCCAAATGCAGACAAGTAACAAGGTGCAATTGTTTAAAGTGAGGAGTTATTAGCCAAGGAGGAAATTTATTAATTTTTAAATCAAGATTGGATGGTTTTGAAACTATACGCTCTAGTTCAAGCAGGAATTAATCCAAGGAAGTTCTATGGCCTGTTATAGAGGAGGTGGGACTAGGTAATCACAATTGTCCCTCCTGACCATGTAATCAATGAATCTATGTAAAGCTTCCCCATAGAGATCAGCCCTAGAACTATTTGGAAATCAGTTGAGAGTAGGATTGCCAGGTGTCCGGTTTTCAAAGGGAATCTGCTGCGTCCAGTCAGCACATCTGACCAGACACTGCAGTAACTGGCCTCTGCCATTTGGGGACAGGAAGAGCAGCAGCTGTGGCTGGAGTCACATGGAGGAGCTGCTCTCTGCTCAGCTGCTGATGCCTGACAGAGAGCAGTGGCTGGATTCCAGACTGGGCTGCAAGAGGTAGATGCCACCACCCAGGAGAAAATCCTATCCACCATCCCCCTTCTGTCCCGCCGTGCCCTGACTGCTCCGTCCCTTGCTCCTCGCTATGGGGACTCGCCCCTCCCCACCCCGGTCCCTTGTTCCAGAGACCCACCCCCATGTGTCCCGGCTCATTGCTTTGGGGACCAACCCTCTCCCCCCCCAACTCTGCTGTGCCCTGATTGGGCAGGTGGGCAGGCTCCACATCAGCTCCTCCTAGCCTGACTCTGCAGGCAGCGAGTCCCAGGAGAGGGGGGAATGATGTCCCCCACTCATCCCCCTCCTCCGGGACTCACCTGCTGCCCGAGGGAGAGGGGTGAGGCCTTGGGGGAAGGAGCAGGGCAGGGCAAGGGTGTTCAGTTTTCAGCCATTAGAAAATTGGCAACCCTAATGATAATGCTGAGGATGGGGACTGGGAACAGCAGGGGAGAGCTGAGTCTAAATGCACCATGTGTTGCTATTTCTTCCTCTCCCTTCTAACCCTTGTTCATTTCCAATCATTCCCCTTTTGTTCTATTTTCCTCCTTTTGTTACTTTCACTCTGTTTTCACCCCCTTCACACAGCCACATTCTGTCTCTCACACTTACACATAGTCTCTTAGGCCACACAGCCCTTGGGATCTCTCAGCTGCCCCTGGGCCTCCTCTCTGCCCATTGCATCTCTCAGACCCACCCCAGCTGCACTGGGGCTCTGAGCCACCCTCTCTGAACTTTCAGTCCCCTCCTCGGACTCTAAGGATCATCATGCCCCTGGCAGAGCTCTGGGAGACAAACTTCACACACACACACACACACACACACACACACACACACACACACACACACACACACACACACACAGTGTTA